TATTTGTTATTTGACAACAAGCTCCACAAGCAAAAGAAGCAAAGCAATCAAAACCTAACACACATAGAAGCTCGCAGCCTGTAGTAAAAGAACAAAAGTCACACCCTATGATACAACAAGCAAAATGTTCTCTATTCTAGGACACACACAAAGTTCCTCAGCCAGCTGTCAGCCAAATGGTTCCTGGCCTCCAAGCATAAAGCGTCCCTTCTGGCGCCATAAACAAGCGCCTCCATACCCCGTGCCCATCCAGCTAGGGCGAGCTCTTCACTTGACCACCAGACATTTCGTAGTTAACATAATCAGACTCCTAAAATGCAACAGTCGTGCGAATGGGAGGTAGGCAACAATAAAACAGTGACAGGGGACGGAAGATGCAGCTTGATGGAAAGGGAGAAGAAAGTGGATGGTGAAGGCATAGTTTAGAAGGATTCAAATGGGGGCGTGATCATGGTGGGGACAAGATGATCATAGCATTGTGTAGGGAGACAGGTAATTTGAAAGGGCATAGCAGCATATAATCATATGGGGGAAGGGAAGTTACCAATGAGCGCAAATTTTTGTTTCCCTTACGTGTGCACTTGTTCTTGCTCTTGTCCATTTTGAACCCCTCCTTGCACTGGCACTTTTCCGCTCCTTGCACCATCTTGCACTGAGAATTATTAGGGTAGCCACCTGAACATGTGGCTGCCACATGAAAAACGGGGGTGTGAGGGAGACGGGAGGAATGGAGGATGAGCGGGGTGGACAGGGAGGGCATGCATGTGAGTAGACGGTTAGAATGGGAGTTAGACATTGTGAGAGAGGGCGACAAGCATAAGGATCACTTGAGCTGCGGCGGGTTTGAAGAGAGCAAGCCAGAAAGGAGAGCAAGCGTTGTTTTTCTCCCTTACGTGTGCACTTGTTCTTGCTCTTGTCCATTTTGAACCCCTGCTTGCACAGGTACAGAGCCGTTCCTTGCACTATCTTGCACTGGGCATTATCAGGGCAGCCACCCGGACATGTCGCTGCCACATGAAAAAGGGGGGTGTCCAGGAGACGGGAGGAATGGAGGATGAGCGGGGTCGACAGGGAGGGCATACATGCTAGCAGAAGGTTCGATAGGATTCCAAGATTTTGAGATAGGGAGACAAGCATGAGGATTACTCGAGCTGCGGTAGGTTTCAGGAGAGCCTGCGTTGTTTTTCTCCCTTACGTGTGCACTTGTTCTTGCTCTTGTCCATTTTGAACCCCTGCTTGCACTGGCACTGCGGCGTTCCTTGCACCATCTTGCACTCAGAATTCTCAGGGCGGGGTCGACTGGGAGGGATTTTGTGAGAGAGAGTAGACGGTTGGGATGTGAATAGAGATAGTTGGGAAGGGGAACAAGCACAAGGAGCACTTGGGCTGCGTCAGCTTTTATGGGAGCAGGGACAGAAACAGGAGCATACGTTCTGTCTCTCCCTTACGTGTGCACTTGTTCTTGCTCTTGTCCATTTTGTAACCCGAATTGCACTGGCACTGTGCCGTTCCTTGCACCATCTTGCACTTGGCATTAGCAGGGCAGGCAGACGAACACACTGGAATGACTGCCACAGGAAATGAAACGGGGGGGGTGGGTGATATGGGAGGAATGGAGGATGAGAGGGGCCGATATGGAGGGCCTGTTCCCCTCACCGAATTTGTCTCTCTTGCTCCGAGCACCTCCCAGGTTTGGGCTGGACAGAAGGGTGCATGGGCATACTTCCCTCGTCACATCCTCTCCCTGTCACCTTCTCCCTGTTACCTTCCTCCTGTCGCCCATGTCACCTTCTGCTTGTCACCTTCTCCATGTCACCTTCTTCCTGTCACCTTCTCCCTGTCACCTTGTCCCTGTCACTTTCTCCCTGTCTCCTTCTCCCTGTCACCTTCTCCCTGTCGCCTTCTCCCTGCCACCTTCTCCATGTCACCTTCTCCCTCCCACCTTCTCCCTGTCACCTTCTCCACCTTCTCCATGTCACCTTCTGTCAGAGGTGCACTGGAGTTCCCCGATTGATCCTAGGAAAGGGCTACAGGAACGTAGGCCTGGGGGGTTATGGGCGCACACACTCGCTACACAAAAAAAATCATTTTATCCAAGTGGTTAGTGGCTGGGCTTTTGATATGGTATCAGAGCGAAGATCTCGGGTTTCAAATCCCAATGTGCACTTCGGGCATCCAAGTGCTGGGGGGTGTCAGAGGTGCACTGGAGTTCCCCGATTGATCCTAGGAAAGGGTTACAGGCACGTTGGCCTGGGGAATTATGAGCGCACTCATTCGCTACACAAACAAGCCCTTTTATCCCAGTGGTTAGTGGCTGAGATTCTGACACATTCTCCCTGCAACCTTCCTCCTGCCACCTCCCCCTTGTCATCTTCTGCCCCTGTCACCTTCTCTCCTTCTCCCCACCCCCTCCCAGGTTCGGGATGGACGAAAGGTGCTCTTTACACGGACCGCATGCTCCGGCTGTCGCTGCAAACTCTGCTCAAATTGGGGCACCCACCCACTGCGTTTTCGTCGCACTCGTGTTGGCATCGCATTGAGCATGAACGCCGGCAAGCACGGCAAAAACGTTGTGGTTCAAATTGCAGAACATAACAGTCAATCCGCAGCCCCTGCGAGGCACCAAGGTCTACACCTACATTCTCGTGGGGGTGTAAAAGAATGCGGAGAGCGTCACAGCGGCGTCCGGGAACACTTTGGAGGAGATGAGGGCTATTTTTAAGAGGGCGCAAGCTTTCTACGCGCTCGTCACGTCCCCCTCGCACGTCACAGCGCCATTCGCGGGCAGCTCTATATCGGCTGAGCGTGCCCGCTTGAATGTGCTCGCGGTGTGGTAGCTGGTTTCCGCAGTGGGCTGGGGTGTTGGTGGGTTAGTTGGGGTTGGGGCCTAAGCATTGTGCGTGCAGTTGGAGGTGCTTGCCAGCATTCTGCTTCTGTGAAGTGTGCGCAAGCTTGAATGGACCAGTTGAATTGTGAAGGTCTTACGCACTCTGGAAAAAGAAGTGGTACCCTTGTCCCTGCCATGGAGTGTGGTTTGTGTGGTGTGTGGAGTGGAGTGCCGTCGGTGGTGGTGAGGTTGTGTGCAGTGGAGTGCCGTTGGTGGTGAGGTTGTGTGCAGTGTGGGACTGGGTTGGTTAGATGTGTGGGGTGTAACGTGGGTAACTTAGTGTGCGGTTTGTGGTGTGTGATTACCGGTACATGATTACCGGCATAAACATGCATACCACCAAGCACAGTTGCATGTGAGCGGGCTTGACACCTTCTCATGTCTCATTTCTTTCTCTTGGCTGGACACCAGCTTTGCTTCATGTACAAGGCATGCACGTCACTTGCTATCAGTATCTCTCACCCTCATCCCACTAGCATCGCTCAATGCAGCTATCACGTGCCGCGTCGTGGGGAGCGTGTCCCGCACACTAGGCAGGTGGAACGGCGCTCGCTGTGTCCTCTCAAACAGCCATGGAGTCAAAACACACTTGAACTCATCAAAGCTAGTGGCTAGTAGTGCTTCCCAATCCACCTGTTGTGGTTTGGTCAGGGGTGGAGTGGGGTGAAGGAGGATATGCTGAGTCAACCACCGATTTACGTGCAGAAGCGGAAAGGTGAAAACGAGGGCTCCACCAGCAGCATTTAGAAGCGAGAAGAAGGGGATGGATGGATGCAAAAATGTTGCTCGAACAGCAGCAATTGGAATGAGACCTGAGAGAGGAAGGAAGGAGGCGTACGGGGTCCTATGCAGCATGGACTCACGAGGAGGTCTCGAGGAACATGCGCGGTGGTTTGCATGTCAGCAGCCAAGGAGAGGCCGAGGATGGACATGAGACCCACCATGGCCGACCCGCGAGACAGCGGCATCAGCTGGAACCTGCAGGTCACAGAGAGGGGCGTGTGGACGGGTCGAGGATACACAAGAACAACGGGAGTCATGTCAGCAGCCGTGGAGAGGCCGAGGATGGACATGAGACCCACCATGGCCGACCCGCGAGACAGCGGCATCAGCTGGAACCTGCGGACCTCAGCGTGCGATGTGATGTGCGGACAGGTTGGGCAAACAAAGAACGTGGGAGTGGGGAAGAGGAATTGGTGAGAGGCGTGAGCAGGCAGAGTGGTGTGCGGTGGAGGCGGGAGGTGTGAATAACGAGGACGATGAGATGGGTTTGGGTGTGGATAACAAGGGTTTTGACAGCGCGGTGTGCGAGACAGCTGCAACAAGTAGCTGGATGGCTGGGCGAGAACAGGTCGGGGTTTGGAAGGAGCGGCAAGTGCGCAGCAGCAGGTAAAACGGGGCCGCCGCACATTACACAGAGCAGTAGTAAGCAATGGCGAGGATCTGATCTGATCTGATCTGGGATGCACTGGCGATATGCATACAGGCGGGCGGAAGGAGGACCCATCAGTAGTAAGCGATGGTGAGGATCTGATCCTGGATCCGCTGGCATATCCATACCGAGCGTTTTTTGTTTTTGTTTTTTTTTCTGTGCGTGCGTGCGTGCGTGCGTGCGTGCGTGCGTGTGTGTGTGTGTGTGTGTGTGTGTGTGTGTGTGTGTGTGTGTGTGAGAGAGTGTGTGTCTTTCCTATTTGGGTTGTACTTTAGAGGCGCTTCAATAGCAGGCGATGGTGAGAATCTGATCCTGTATGCGCTGGTGATATCCATACGGGTGGCCAGCAGGCAGACCCACCAGTAGTAGGCGATTGTAAGGATCTGATCCTGGATGCGCTGGCGGTACACGTGTGGGCAGTCTCTGAGAATGAAAGTAGAAGAAGAAAAAAACGCACCAAAGGATGCCCATGTGGCCTGGCTGGTGTGAGGAGGACCCACCAATAGTAGGCGATGGCGATGATCTGATCTTGGATGCGCTCGCGGTACGCCTGTGGTGACGTGGCCTTGGTGCGGTGGTCCAGTGCGGCCGCCATGAAGCCCTGCCACGCCGCTGTGAGCTCCGAGTCGAATGCATTCCACCGCGTTGAGTCGATGGGGGTCACTGTCTCAAAGTCCACTGCTAAGGGACTGGTGGCGGAGGGAGGGAGGGGGGAACGGGGTGTGTGATGGGATGAGAACTGGTGCGGTGGTCCAGTGCAGCTTCCATGAATCCCTGCCATGCCGCTGTGAGCTCCGAGTCGAATGCATTCCACCGCGCCGCGTCGACTGTCGTTGGGGTGCAGCGCGTTGAGTCGATGGGGGTCACTGTGTCAAAGTCCACTGCCAGGGGGCTGGTGGATGGGGGAGTGTTGATGGGGGTGGGGGTGTGATGGAATGGGGAGAAGAGAGAGCGGAAAGACGTGGTCTAGTGCGGCCTCCATGACGCCCTGCCACACCGCTGTGACCTCCGAATCAAACGCATTCCACCACGCCGAGTCTACTGTGGTGAACGTGTCAGAGTCCCTTGCCAACGGGCTGGAAGAGGGGGGGTTGATGGGTGAAAGCGATGTGAATATGAGAGGAGAGTGTGGAGCCGTAGTCTACCTCCCCTGGCGTACTTTGGCGAACGTGTCAAAGCCCCCTGCAAACGGGCTGGGAGAAAAGAGGGTGGAAGATGATGGGGTGGTGATGATGTGATTGGTAGAGGAGAGGAGAAAGGGAACGGGTAAGGAGAAGAGAGAAAGGGGAGGATTCGAGTATACAGATGTATGTATGGGTGCATGTGTGGTGTATATGTCCATGTGTGCATGTGTGCATGTGTGCATGTGTGCATGTGTGCATGTGTGCATGTGTCCATGTGTCCATATTTGCATGTGTGCATGTGTGCATGAGTGCATGTGTGCATGTGTGCATGTGTCCATGTGTCCATGTGTGCAAGTGTGCATGTGTGCATGTGTCCATGTGTGCATGTGTGCATGTGTGCATGAGTGCATGGCGTGTGCAAGAACCACACGACTCACCGTTTTTGTAATTTGAACTCTGTGCCGCCCAAATCTTTCCTGCACGGGAGGGTGGGCGAGAAGGGGCAATCAATGAGGATCAAGAGCCAGAACAGGTGCATGCAGCTGGCATGGGAGGTAAGGGGAAGGGTGCAGATGAGAGCATGAAAGCATCTTGAGCGTGAAAGCATCTTGAGCGTGAAAGCATCTTGAGCATGAAAGCATCTGGAGCGTGAAAGCATCTTGAGCGTGAAAGCATCTTGAGCATGAAAGCATCTTGAGCGTGAAAGCATCTTGAGCATGAAAGCATCTTGGCGTGAAAGCATCTTGAGCATGAAAGCATCTTGAGCATGAAAGCAACTTGAGCGTGAAAGCATCTTGAGCATGAAAGCATCTTGAGAGTGATGTGGCGTGCTGTAGCATGGCAGACGCACTAACCCTGGGAATGCCCGGCTGTAGCATGGCAGACGCACGTAGAAGTCCCGGCCAATCACGTTGAAGAGCCCCTCGTGATCCTCCGCTGCTTCCAGCTGTTGGAATGTTCAGGGAGCGTTGGTAGTAGCACTTTAGTCCCACTGTAAAACGAATTACACTGAACAGATGGGGTCCATGGGGGCATAGGGCCAGTGGCCCATGGGGCCAATGCGCCATGGGGGGCATGGCAGGCATGTGAAAGGGTGGTATGGTTGACATGAGAGTACACACCTGGGCGCCGAAGGTGGAGCGAGGCACGTCGAACGGCTGGTGCGAGTCAGCATCAAACGCCCTCTCTGCCTGCAGCAGGCCGCTCCTTGTGACGTTTACCGCCCTGTGAGTGACACAAGGGCAGGGAGGGACGGGAGAGAAAGGGGGGACGGAAGGGAGGGATGGAAGGCGGAAGGGTGGAGCGAGGCAAGCCAAACACCCTCTCTGACTGCAGCAGTCCCCGCATTGTGATGCTCACCGCCCTGTGATGGGGACGGAGGGAGAGAAGGAAGGGCAGGGAAGGAAGGAAGGGCAGGGAGGAAAGGAAGAGGGCAGGGAGGAAAGGAAGAGGGCTGGGAGGAAAGGAAGAGGGCTGGCAGGAAAGGAAGAGGGCTGGGAGCAGGGTTAAAAGGCCGTTTTTTTGAAATTTTACCGTAAAAAACGGTATCGTAAAAAACGGTCGTAAAAAACGGTTTAAAACGGTTTCCTGTTTAACTAACAAAACGGCCACTTAGTGGGACCAAATTGAACCCGAAATGCAGCAGCATGAAGGGGACGGACCCCTTCTTGCATGTATGCGCTTGTCGGCGTGATTGAAAATGTTTTTGACCTTGATTTTCTCTTTTTTTTCTTGGTGAACAGAGTTCTCTAACAAAAAAACGGCCGTTTTTTAAAAAAATCGGCGTAAAAAACGACCGTAAAAAACGGACCGTATTTTACGAAAACCGTAATTTTGATCCTTGGCTGGGAGGAAAGGAAGAGGGCTGGGAGGAAAGAAAGAGGGCTGGGAGGAAAGGAAGAGGGCTGGGAGGAAAGGAAGAGGGCTGGGAGGAAAGAAAGAGGGCTGGGAGGAAAGAAAGAGGGCTGGGAGGAATGGAAGAGGGCAGGGAGGCGAGGGACAGAAGGGGCATGGGAGGAAAACGGTGGCTTCTGGATTGAATCAAGGTCACCTCGGCGTCAACCGCCCTCCCTGAGTTCAGCAGACCTTGCCTCGTGACGTTCACTACCCTGTGATGGAAGGGGATGGATGGATAGAACAGGGCAACGATAAGTGTTTTTATTCTTGTATAACCAGCCGGGGAATGATGATGTGAGGTGGGACGACACGGCACAAGGCAACTCGCTTGATTGAGACGGACTGGGTTCAAAAGGAAGCCACTCACTTGGGATAGACGGTGAGGTAGCGAGCAGTGTCCATGACCCAGGAGAAGATGGGTGTGCCGGTGAGACAGCATAGCGCATGCCTTGCTTCCAGCACTGCCCCTGGCTGAACGCCTTCCATGCCATGGGCTTCATGACGTCTGACACCTGTCTCCACACCACCAGTCAGACGCTAAACTCACTTGGGATAGACGGCGAGGTAGCGAGCGGTGGCCATGACCCAGGTGAAGATGGGTGTGCCGGTGCGATACAGCATGTCCTCCGGCCATGCCTGCCCCTGGGCGAACGCCTTCCATGCGACGGTCTCCGTGGCGTCTGACACCTGCCTCCACGCCACCAGCACTCGGAACATGTGCCGCCAGCTCGTCATGAGGTCAGATCGGTCCAACAGACTCTGCCCACCACCACGGCTGCTGCTGCTGCTGCTGTCAGTGCTGCTGTCAGTGCTGCTCTCCTCAGTGCCTTCAGCCACGCTGCTGCCACCGCCGCTGCTGTCACCGCCACCGCTGCTGCTGCCGCTGCTGCTGCTGCTGCTGCTGCTGCTGCTGCTGCTGCCGCTGCTGCCGCTGCTGTTGCTGCTGCTTTGACGGCTGCGGCCAGTGCGCTGCCCGCCCAGCCTCTGCTGCTGCGCCTCCTCCAGCTGCTCCCGCCACAGCTCCCGCCCCCCACTCGCCCCGTCGGCCGCACCGTCCCCATCCCCGCCGTGGGCCCCAAAGAGCAAACGGGCGATGCGCATCTGATCCGCGATGAGGAGCAGCGTGCGCCTCACCTGCTGCATCACGTCCAGGGCCGCCAGCCCTGCCATGCGCAGCTGAGGGGTGGAGGACGGGGTGGATGGGTGGGTTGGGGTGAGAGGGGAGGAAAGGCAAGGGGTGATGCGCATCTGATCATGTCTAGGGCCGCCAGCCCTGCCATGCGCAGCTGAGGGGTGGGAGGGGAGGATGGGGGGAGAGAAGGAGAGGAGGGAGCCTGAGTTTCGTGGTCACAGGGGCAACGCGGGGAGCAGTTGGTGCTGCTGCAGGCGTTGCATGAACGGACATTGGAACTTGCAACACACTATGCCACCGCTTGTCATACACGTGTGCTTTGAGTCGACTCAGAACTCACCTCACAGTCAGTATCATTCTGACTGTGCCACGCCTGTGCCATGCCATGCCATGCCATGCGGGCCTGCTGGGGAGCAGCATGCCATGCCACGACAGACCATGCCACGCCGTGACATGCCATGCCATCCCTGCCATGCCATGCGCACCTGCTGGGTATTATGAAGCATGCCATCCGTGTCGTAGTGCGTGCGAGCACCAATCACGTCCGCCGCTTCCACCAGCTGCACTGCCGCCCCTGACAGGCGCGGCAGTCGCTGTCACGTGGCAGCTTGCAACTGGTGCTCGGGGATCACCAGCGGGACGAAGCCCGGGAGCTCCTCCGGCCGGCCCCCCGTCGCCCACTTGTCCTGGCGCCCATGGGGGGAGAAGAAGGGGTGGGAGAGAGGGAGGTGCACAAGGGGAGGGGTGAGGGGAGAGGGGGAAGGGGAGAGGTGGGGAGGAGAGGGGAAGAGCAGGGAAGAGTGGGGATGATTAGGGGAATTGAGCTGTTCCGTGGGAAAACGGTAAGGTTGATAGAAGAGGTCCACACTTGCCCGTCAAGCTTGACACAAGGGCAAGCCTTCCATTCCACCACCCCCATCACGTGTCCCTGACGCCTTCCTATCCACCCTTCTCCATCTCTCACCCTTCTCTCCCTCTCCTGCTCACACTGTTCTCTCGCCCTCGCCCTCTCACCCGCCACTCCTCGTCAAGGTCGTTATTCAAGTCCCCTTCTCCCACCCACGTTTCCCCCTCTCCCTCTCGCCCTGCCCCACTCACCCGCCACTCCCCGTCAAGGTCATCGTCAATGCGCAAGGCAGAGAAGGGCTGGGCGAGGCGCGACACAGTGTAGGCGAGCCAGCAGGAGGCGCTGAAAGAAGGTCCTGCCTCGGTGTTCTCTCCCTCTCACTCTGTCTCTTCTCTCACACGTGCCCTATGTCTCCCACCCTCCACTCCACTCCCACCCGCCACTCCCACCCGCCACTCCCACCCGCCACTCCCACCCGCCACTCCCACCCGCCACTCCCACCCGCCACTCCCACCCGCCACTCCCACCCGCCACTCCCACCCGCCACTCCCACCCGCCACTCCCACCCGCCACTCTCACCCGCCACTCCTCAGCAAGGTCGTCATCAATGCGGAAGGCAGAGAAGGGCTGGTCGAGGCGCGACACAGTGTAGGCCAGCAGGTGGCGCTGAAAGAAGGTCCTGTGGCGGTATGATGTCTGCTCACCCGGTTGAACGGGTGAGGAGAGCAGCTCGTCGTATAGCCGCATCTGGTGGGGAGGCACGGGCAGAAGGTGAGTGCATGGGATGGGATGGGATGGGATGGGATGGGATGGGATGACACGGTGCAGGCCAGCAGGTGGCGAGAAGGTTTTGTCGCGGTATGACGATTGCTCGCCGGACGCATCTGGTGGGGTGAGTGTCAGGGAGGGAGGGGAGACGAGCATGTGGCAGACGATGAGTGCATGGCATGTCGTGGTGTGGTATGGTATCGCATGGTATGGCATGGCATGGCATGGCATGGCATGGCAGGGCATGACGTGATGTGGCGTAACATTGCTGCATGTGGGGGAGAGGAGAGGGAGGTCGGATGACTCACAGCAGCAGCATGCTCGCCCAGCATGTGCAGGCTGGACGCCTTAGCGTGCATGACCTCCAGGTCGCCTGGGAATGCCTTGAGCCCCGCGTCTGCCATGGGAATGACTCCCCTGCCCAGTCGCACATGCACATGCACGCATAACACCACATAGGTGGGCATACATAACACCACATAGGTGGGCATACATAACACCACATAGGTGGGCATACATAACACCACATAGGTGGGCATACATAACACCACATAGGTGGGCATACATAACACCACATAGGTGGGCATACATAACACCACATAGGTGGGCATACATAACACCACATAGGTGGGCATACATAACACCACATAGGTGGGCATACATAACACCACATAGGTGGGCATACATAACACCACATAGGTGGGCATACATAACACCACATAGGTGGGCATACATAACACCACATAGGTGGGCATACATAACACCACATAGGTGGGCATACATAACACCACATAGGTGGGCATACATAACACCACATAGGTGGGCATACATAACACCACATAGGTGGGCATACATAACACCACATAGGTGGGTACAGGTCAGAATGGCTCACCCAGAAGTGACTTTCGGGTCAGGTACAGGTCAGGTACAGGTTAGATACGGGTCAAAATTTGGCGGGAAAAATCAGGTTCGGGTCAGATAGACTGACCCTAAAGTCACTCCACGGGTAGATTTAGGTCACACCTGTCTAGCACACAAACCGCCTAAACCCCGTCATTGAGTGCATCGACACTTGTTACAGGGGTTACGTTTATATCGGATGCAATATATTATGCTCGCACTGTACACGTACGTTATGCATCCTCGGTACAATATGATCCACTACACCATCGAAAGTGCCAAGAACGCAAAGCCAATAATTCATTCTGCAAAGCACTTAGTTACAACACAAACAAATATTAAAAACACCTAATATTTACACAGTTACAGCACCCACACTACGCACCCTACATAACAGTCCGCACATAGATGCTCTGAAAGGCATGCCCAGTGCCACTGTGGCACGGCAGGCAAGAGAACATCAAGCGAGCCACGGCTCGTCGGTGTCACCACCCGGGTCCATCTTTCCCCCATATTGCACGGGCTTGAACTCCTCCAGGTCACTCGCGTTGACATACAGGTGCTCTGCCCCCCACCGGGATCCGCCCACGACGGGATCGTACCACCTGCCCTTTGACACACCCAGCCAATGGGTGATCACTTGCAGCACCTGCTCGTTACAGTAACCTAGCCCCCCCTCGTTGTCCAGAGGGCTAGGAGTCATGCATATCGCTGTTGTCTTCCAGTTGCGTATCCCGAAATCAAACTGCCATCAGGTTAATTGCAGAACACTGTCAGTGAGATACATGGGGCCGCTTAGAACACGGAACGAATAGCACCAATCCACTCACGGAATACAAGACCCAGGCGATGTGGTATGGCACCAGCACCAGGTTGCCTCCAAACACCCACTCTGGGTAGGCCGCCTTGCATGCTTGGAAAAAGACATTGGTGGTAAAGGGCCGCAAATCCCCTTTCGCGCAGCTCCATGTCGATACAAGCTGCATAAGCTCCTTCTCTGTACACGGAGCAGCAGGCAAGGATGTGGTTAAAGCAGCCCCAGCATACATAGGCCCTGCCCTGTGAGCCCTCCATGGGGATCCCCCCCTTGCACCCACGACACTCACTGGGCGCGTATTTCCGGTGCAGCTCCTTTTTGGTGTCGATATCTATCTCCAGCTTGTAGATGCCGGTGGCTGCGACCTCGATCTCCGGCCCATCCACGATCCTGCGGCGTCCGTTCGACGACGAGTCACTCCTGAACTTCGACCAGATCTTGTTGACCACCTTGCTGTACGCCCCGTTCCTCATGGCGCGGTCAACGTCTAGCTGACAGCCGTCGTGATGGCACCGGAGCACCACGAGAAGGGCCACGTTCCTCTCGTCGTCCGTCGGCCAGTGCGTTACGCCATGCGCGGCGCATGAGCGCAACAGCAAATGCATCGCCTTCTTGGCGTAAAACTGGGGGGCGGGGGTGGCACGTGGGGGGTGGGGGGGGGGGGGGGGAACCACGACGCCACGGACACAGAGCAGTTTCGACACTTGACTATGGAGGTCACAACAGGGCAAACCCCAAGGCGATAATAGCACAAGCACACCGAGCCCTCGTGCGAACATTCATCCAGGAATGCCTAGCCCACATACGTGAATTTGGTCTGCCGGAGGCATTCCCGGCTGTAAATCAGGCCTGGCATCGTTTGGGTTGTAGTCGACCACGATCGTCATCCTCGGCCGCTCTCGCTTCAACCCTCTTCCTTGCATGCCTGGCGCATGTCGATCCCACGCAACACCATCAGGCGCTACTCTCCCCGCGGCCATCCCCGTCGCTGTCTCCACGCCAACACCGCCCACCCGGGGAGCCACGTGGTTCCCCACGATCGCCAGCCTCCCAGCTCCTGACAGTCGGTTCATTGCGAATCCGCGGTTTGGCCGCTCAAATGCCTCTGCAACCGGCACTAACTCTTCGGCAGCTCGGGCGGGTCGTGTTGGTGCCTGCGTCGCCACGCACGCGTCCCTCTGAACCCCACTCTGTTGGGGTGCATCTCCAGCCCTGCCGTTCGGCCTCCACACCTGCGGCTGGTCTGCCACGGCTGGCGTTACAACTCCGCCTCCTTTGCCCGACTCATCCGCCGCATCGCCGTCCATTCCCGCAAGAGCGGCATGCAGGTCTTCGCCAAGGGTGAAGTTCGGCACGCCCCCGTGTGCCGCAGCCGACGGACCCTTTGTCCCACGAGTCGCTTGAAAGTGCGCCCACAGCAGCCGTATTTGCTCCATCGCACGCCCGGCGACGTCGTCTCCACACCCATCGCCGCCAAGAACGGTGTCCGCTCCACGGACACTGGCGTGAGTGTCCTCGCATGTGGCCAGGAAGGGCGTGGGAATCATGCCCGGCAACACACCAGCTCCGTCCGGACCACGTTCGTGCACCTGCGGTGAAGGTGCTACCAAGGGCGTGGCAGGGGTAATGTTAGAAGGCGAGCCGGCAGTTTTAGAAGGATGCATCCTGGGCGGCGAAACGAACAAGGTCCGGTTCACCACCCCCCCGCCACGAGATGGTGCCGCGATGGACTCAGCTTCCACACCACTGTGCTTAAGTGTTGTGGTCGGTGTGTGCGGCCACGGCCTCGCGGAGCTACCGGAAAACGCCGAGGTAGGTGTGGGGGTCGATGTGGCGGGGTACCCACCATGACCCGCCGCCGCCGTAGTGAGTGACGGCTGCAATCTCTTATCGTGTACTCGGGTCTCCGACGTCGCCGGCTCGCCTCGTGCGACATTCGCGCTCTGGCCTATAGCCGACGGAATGTCACCGTCGCTCGTCTCCTCGTAGATGTTAAAAAAGTTGCGCCGCATGCCGGACGCCCGTGTCGACACAGCCACGACTCGTCGAAGCACAGACGTGTTGGCGTCACAGCGTAAGCGATTGGACCCGCTCCCGGTGGCCCGCAAGCGCTTACCCGCACGGCCTGATGCAGATTGGCCGCAACCTTGTGTGCCTGCGAGTTCAGATTGGTGAGAGGGAGGAGGCGTGTTATCAGTCTCCCCTTCGGACTCGGACTCGCTTGCGACCCAGTCCGCGTCGCCAGACTGATCCTCGCTGTCACAGGATGAGGACTCCGTGCCCTCGCCGTCTACGTCGGGCTCTTAAGAGCATGATGAGTGTTGCACTGTAAACATCACCTCGTTGTACTTCAGCCATGCCTCAGGGCCGCACTCGGTGCTGCGTGGACCGCCGTGCTCAGTGTCCCCGCTTAGTCTTGGATCACCACCTGCAACAACAAACGCAAACGCTACTTAGTAGCTTGGTGAGTACCCAGGGTCACCGTATTGGTGGCACCGCCCATGGCCAACGCCGCAATGAACCATTCCTAATAAGAAATCAGCGTTGGGCATGCGGAGTTTACGGCACGTACGGCACCCCTTGCCTTGTTTGACTGTTCTGCATTGTCCGCGTTTGCAGACGTAATCTCCGTCAACAGCTTCGTTTGTTGACGTCTCCGTGCTTCGCGCTCCGCGTGCACGTCCTCTGGAGTCTGGCCGTATGGGTTAGGCAACGATCTCTGGCGTGGGCCGGCGCTGACACCGTGCGTGGGCTGACGTTGGCCTGGCGGCAAATGACTGGCGCCACGTAGACGCCGAGTTCGATATTCAGTAACGAGCACACGCGTGCGCTCACTCTCTTCCACCCATTTGCTGTCCAGCGCTCGAGTGCGGACCGTAGTCACTACGAAATCGGTCCCGTTAAGGTGTGCGGGTGGCTTCTTATCTCGCATAGGTCGGTTTAAGGTTAGAGACATCGTTCTGACCTCGAACTGGCTTCTTCAATAGGGCGATTCTTGCAACACTGGCCTGCGCGGATGCGCATTAGCTAGGGTTACGAGTAGTACCCAAAGAGACAAAGCAAGGGTTTCGCCAAAAACGCAATGAGACAGCAAAGAACAGGAGTCTTGCAACCATCAACCAACCAGACGCGCCAATCGGCTCCTGCTCCCTTGGGGGCGTGGCATTCGAAGTGACTGACAGCCGTGGATTGAAGTCCACGCCTGACTGGGTCAATCTAAACCGTCTGTGCGTTGTACAGCACACGAAGGATGGGATACGCGTCATTGGCCGCTTTTCGTAAGACCCCTGTCCACGCGTCGGCCTCGAACTGCGGCAATGACGTGTAACCTTATCGTCGCCGCACCGGAACCCAGTACCGTGTACCAGGACAACTGGTTGCACCACATACCGTGCAAACCAATTCCGGATGCCTTAACGAAGTCCGCAATAGCCGACCATTATGGGATGGTCGTTACAAGGTTGCCCGTTGATCTGGGAGTACACACTGCACTGCATCTTCAACATTTCCCACGACGGTAAGCCACGGTGATCGAAGGCAGCTGTTGAGTGCGAAGTAATAAACCGTGCACCACCGTACCGTGAAGTTATGTCAACTTAAACGTCCCCATTTCTGGATCGGTGTGTTCACATCCACCATCTCCAGCCCGCCGCACTTGACGCTGCCCAACCGCGGCCTCAACGTAGACCCTCGGCTTCCACGTAGACCTCAGGGTTCACGCTCGTGCTACAGCCTACAATGCCTCCTAAGAAGTCTAAAGCCCCGACCTCCCGTATGAAGAAGTACAGTATCCCATACCCAATTGGTGGCTCGTGGTTATCGTTGACGCAAAAACAGCTAGACACCCTGTCCCCTGGACAGTGGGTGTCTGGCGACATCATTGAGTGGTGGGGCATGTGAGTAACCCGCCGCTTGATGTGCGTCATTGCAACAGCCCATTCACCAGGTTGTTATCCATGTTTAACACGTTTCGTCATTCGTTTGATGCAGCTTGCTTCAATATGAGACTAGCAGAGAAGAGCGGACGTGGCTATACGCGGGGACTTACTTTTACACGCTGATTTCCCGTGACAACACCGCAGCAGCACTGCGAAACATCGCGTGCGGAGAGAATGTCCTGACCTACAAGTGGGTCATAGTTCCGATCCACCGCGAGTGAGTCATTTACAGGTGTAGTCATCCGTCATAGCATCTGTAGGCGACCACATAGTCTCATGGCGGCACCCATTCTTGCATTCGTTCTTGCAGCGGCCACTGGAGCCTTGTCATACTGGACAACGACCACCCAGTCGACGAGCACAACATCCCGCGACCTACCCGCATCCTGCATGCAGACTCCCTCTCGTTACACACGGACATCGCAGGACCACTGAGACGTTATCTTGCGGCTCAGCTCACTGGGTATCGGCCCATTGTCACGGACGTGGAGGCGCAACTATGGGAGAATTCGGTGGAGCTCGTCACCATGGAGGTATGGAACGCTTAACACTTAAGCGCATGCGCCAGAACAAGATGATGCGGCCCATCTATGACTGCGTCTCTACTGTGTGTTTCCTCTGTATGTGTGTGATGTTCTCTGTGTCCCAGGTCACAAAACAGGCGAACCTGCACGACTGTGGTGTGTACGTGATGAAATATATGCAGGTGATGGTGGAAACCGCTTTTGCAAACACATCGTCGATCACAATGTGGGGTGAACCAACAGAATGGAGAGAGGACATTAGGGAGGATTTCTTGGAGTGGAGCGGCTGGTACCCCAAGCAGATGGGCGCCTCATCTTCATAGCACTGTGTTTGTCACAGTAAAGTCGTTGTGAACAATGGTGCAATGTTCAGGGCTCCCAGATTGACAGTAATACATGCCTCAACTTGCAATGTTTAAGCACTTTGGATAAATATATATGCACGAATGGTGCCGGCCATAACAAACATTATCGAGGTTGGGTATAGGGTGTCTGGAAGATGGTCGGTGAAACAGCTCGTCTGGAGGCCGTCACTGTTCCCGAAACCCTAATCAGCGGTCAAGCACACCTTGCTTACAACCCTTGGCATCCGAGAAACCAACCCCCGATTCCGACTGTCAGGTTAACAACCATGGCCTCCACGCGAAGCGGGCCACAACAGCGCGCCAACAGTCAGCAGGTAGGGCACGCCGTACACGACGGTGGCGCTGACGGAGAAAGTGAAGACCCATTCTGTGGAATGCCGGAAGATGTATATCGAAGCGGTGCGTTTCTACTTCCGTGTTTTAATCCACGGGCTCGCTTTTACAACTGGGATGGTACTGATCCACGGTACGGAGGAGAATCTCAGCCCATAGGCGCCAACCACCCCGCCGGGCACGGACAGGGTGACGAGGAACCCGTAGCGCTAGGGGAGCCGGTGGACGCGCTAATAGAAGCGGAGACGCAGATCTACACCGGCTCACCGGACCTCGGGACAGAAACTCCTGCGACGGAGGAGGACCTGAGCTCCCTTCGGCCTGCCAATGACAAAACAGCGTCGGAGTTCCGCGGCGGACGAGTCGCGCCACACGAGAACGATCCTCATCCGAGCCGTCCCACGAACCGCCTTACTGGTGTTGCAACGGGGCGCGTAAACCCTTGTGTGGTGGGCGAAAAGCAAGAAGTGGGAGGCACGAGGGTCGACGGCCAGTATCGTCCTGTCGAAAAGTCACCTAAGCCGGTGGCGACGGACAATGCAGTTCCTAAGGTAGTAGCGTCGAGCGCTAACGATGAGGACATCGGCAAGAAAAAGGACGTCGTTCGTGGCGATGTTTTTGAGCCAACATCACCCCTCGCTGCCTCATTGCCGGTGCCCACAGGTCCAAATCGCAATCATGACCCCGTGACCGGGGCCACGCTAGGAGTCGGCGGAGGGATGCTATCCGACACACGGGACGGAGGGGTGGAGGGGCGGAGAGGTGGCAAGGTGTAGAGGCGGAGGGGTGGAGGGGCGGAGGGGTGGAGGGGTGAAGGGGTGGAGAGGTGGAGGGGTGGAGGGGCGGAGGGGTGGAGGGGTGAAGGGGTGGAGAGGTGGAGGGGTGGAGGGGCGGAGGGGTGGAGGGGTGAAGGGGTGGAGAGGTGGAGGGGTGGTGGGGTGGTGGGGTGGTGGGTGGTGGGTGGTGGGTGGTGGGTGGTGGGTGGTGGGTGGTGGATGCTCACCAGTGGTCTCCCAGCAGTCGCCTCTGCAGCACCAGGTTGTGATGCGTCTCTAGTATCCTGCCATGGACGTGGATTAGTAGTGCGAGAGAGCGAGAGAGAGAGCGAGAGAGAGAGAGAGAGAGAGAGAGAGAGAGAGAGAGAGAGAGAGAGAGAGAGAGAGAGAGAGAGAGAGAGAAGGCACTGGCACCTAGCCCTCTTCCTCGGCCCTCTGCCCTCTGAGACTGAGCCTATTTAAGGGTTTAGGGTTTAGGGAGGCTGTGCGGAGCAGATCAGGGCAGAGAAGCAAAGAGCAAAGAGGAGCGTAGAAGAGATCCGACTGCCCGAGGTGGAGTGAGAGCAGGAAGTCCCTCTCAGCCTGGTCCGTGTTGACTTTTGAGTCGACTCAAAGTTCAGCAGAGTACATACTGTCCGAGCGGGAGGCAGTGAGGGAGGGCGTGAGGATCAGGGCAGAGAAGCAAATAGCAGAGAAGAGCAGAGCAGAGCAGGAAGAGTACATACTGCCCGAGCTGGAGCGAGAGCAGGAGGTCCCTCTCAGCCTGGTGGGTCTCCCCCAGCAGGCGGTGCAGGCGCCCCTTCTCCTTGCGCAGGTCCGCATCCCCTGGCAGCAGCTCCACCGCCCGAGCCAGGTACGGCTGTGCCGCCCGGAACTGGTTCGACCGCACCAATGCAATTCCCTGGGGAGGGAACGGGGAAAAGCGGGGAAAGAGGGGGAAGAGTGGAGGAGTGGGGAGGAGGAAGAAGTGGGGTATGGGAGGAGGGGAGGGGGGGAAAGGGGCATGGCTGTAGCGGGGAGGCAGTAGGGAGGGCGGCTGGGAGAAGCAGTGCTGAGAAGCACAGGAGGAGAAGGCGTGGGTGTAGCGGAACAATGGCTGGAGTGGGACGACCTGGCAGGCAGGCCACCTGGGCTGCGCTGGGCTGGACTGCTTGTCTCGAGTCTCACCACGGCTTGGTTGAGGTCGGCGTCGTTCGGCAGCATGTGCAGCGCGGGCAGCAGGTCTTTGAGAGATTCCTTGAAGCGATACAAGTTGAACGCGCTCAGCCCTGCGATACGCGGGTGAAGGGGGAGAGGGGAGAGGGGGGGGGGGGGGGGGGGGGAGGGGGAGGGGAAGGGGGGAGTTGGGGGGGAAATGGGAAGGAGGAAAGGGGGGCAGCAGGTCTTTGAGGGCGTGCTTGAAGCGGTAACAGTTGAACGCGCTCATCCCTCAAAGGGGGGAGGGGGGTGAAGGAATAAGGTGTTTAGGAGAAATTTCAAAAGCAGGAACTGCTGAAGTCGCTCATTCCCGCACAGGGTTGGGGAGTTGGGGAGGAGAGAGCAGGGAGAGTTGGGAGCAGTGAGGCACTAAAGTCGGCAGTGGCATTGCCGAGGCACGTTCTTCTTGGCACATGCACACCAACCCTGTCAGAACTGAGCTTGAACCGATGCATTAGTATTGATCTCAAAGCTCTTTAAGTACATAAGAATAGAGCACGGAATGGATGAAGGAATTGGGGTTGATCCCTAGGGGATCAAGTGCAATCTCAAGACAATCTCCAATTGGTGGGTTGGAGATTGCTTGGTGATCACATTTGAGCTTGGTTGGGATGTGGGTGTACACCCAACCAAGCACAAAGTGCAAACTACACTACGCTAGGATATAAAAGTACAAAAACAAAAGTTGAGATTGAGGTCTAGCTCTAACACATCCCACCGCACCACACCACACTACACCACACCTGAAAGCACTGCGCACCTGTTCACCGTGCCTCCCCTCCCCTTTCCCACACACCTCGCCGTTTGAGCGCCTCTGCATTCCGTGGTTGCAGCAGCAGGGCGCAGCTGAACGCCTCGTGCGCCCTCTCGTGCTGCCCCAGCGCCTCGCGCTCCACCCCCACCTCCATCCACAGCTCCGCACTGTCGGGATTGGCGCTCGCTGCCTGCAGGGAAGGAGAGGAGAGGCCAGAGAGCCACGTGATGAGATTCTTCAATCGGCCGACTCGAAAAGCACCCACCTCCGTCCTCAGCTCTGCACTGTCGGGATTGGCGGTCACCACCTGTATGGGAGGGGAGGCCAGAGAAGCACGTTTTGTGATGAGATGTGGGTTGCCTGGACAATCACCTCCTTCCACAGCTCTGCACTGCCAGGGTTGGCCCTCACCGCCTGTATGGGAGGAGGGGCAGGGAGCACGCATGCAAAGGCTTAGTGGGACAGCGCTTCACAGAACGCACTTTGCTGTGGCGCTGCAGAGATTTTTCCCCATGCTGCGCCTGCCTCCATCCACAGCCGCGCGTTGATGATAAACTGTTTTTGAGACGTCCCAAAAACAGTTTGTTTTTTCCACGCTGCGCCTATCTCCATCCACAGCCGCGCGTTGCTGCGGTTGGCGGTCACTGCCTGTGGGGGAGTGAGGGAGGGTGCGCGCAGAGAGAGGCTGAAAGGGCCTGACTTGAAGGTATGGTGTGTGACAAGGGGGTGACAATACAGAGGGTGCGCAAGAAACAATAGAGATGTGACAGTAGCGAAAGGGAAGACCTGGCTTATCACGCCCAACACGTCATGCCGGGCATGTCACGCCTAACATTTAAAGCCCGATCGTCATGCGGTGCAGTGCGGTCAATGCTATCGACATGATGCGGCGCCACGCCAGGGGCTTGGGCTCACCTGCTCGAAGTCCGCTACAGCCGGCTCGTGCATGTGTAGCAGCGACTTGGCCACGCCACGCCCGTGCAGCAGTCGCTCGTACAGCCGCCGCAACAGCCGCTCCGCCTGTGGGCCAACGGAGGGCGGTTGGGAGCAGCAGAGGAAGGAGGCTTCAAGGGATCTTGTTTCATCTCGCCGCGCACCTCATTACATCTCGCCTCGCACCTCGTTACATCTCGAAGCTCATCTCGTTACATCTCGCTCGCCTCGCACCTCGTTTCATCTCGCCGCGCACCCCACCTCGTTACATCTCGCCGCGCACCTCGTTACATCTCGCCTCGCACCTCGTCACATTTCGCCGCGAACCTCGTTACATCTCGCCTTGCACCTCGTTACATCTCGCCGCGCACCTCGTTACATCTCGCCGCGCACCTCGTTGTATGTGGCGACGGCCTCTACGAGCCGGTCGCCTTCCAGCTGGTCGCGTCCCTCCGCGATTAAAGCCACCATTCGCTCGCTCACGCGCCGCGCCACCTCCGCCTCACTGCTTCCGCCGCCGCCGCCGCCGCCGCTGCTGCTGTCGCGTCTTCCGCTGTTGCCATCAATGGTGGAGCTGTTATCGTCATCTAAAAGCCAGTCGTTGACGGCAGCATTAATCCGCGCGTCCCGCTCACGCGAACCGGCGCGACTCGGCGTTTTTGCCGCAACATCCGCCGCAACTGACGCTGCCGGATCTAACGCCACGTTTGCCGCCGGATCCAACGCAGGAACGCTAACGCTCTGAATGCCGGGCGCGGTGAGATTAATGAGATTACATTCGTCGTCCGACTGATCCGCCAGCAGCAACCGCGTCGCGTGACTGCCGGCGCATTTGAACGTGCCAATGAGGACAACCATTGCCGCCCAAGCTATTACACTCTTGCTCAACGACAGAGTCCGGCCGCGGCCATCCAACGGAAACGCCATGATATTGCGGCCGAAACGTCTTTATAGCGCTTTGACTCCGGCTCATATGCTCGTCGCGCGCATCGGCGATACAAGCGAGGCGACTCGAACGATATCTCCAGAGAATGAGAACCAGCAGTCGACCAACGAACCACAAAGCAACGAAGAATGGTAAGAAGAGTGAGGAATTTTCTCGACGCGGGCTCTAAAACTTCTACTCGACGCGAGTGAGGAAACGGCGTCCACTCCGTGCTCAACTTGCGCGAATACCTGTGCCGAGGCTGCTTCGTTAAGCCGACATAACTCGAAAGCCGTATGGGGGGTAAGGCCATTTGTGTGGTCTCCTCCACCCCAAGGGGTCTGTCTCCACCGTCGACCGCCATGCTTCTGCAATGGGAGTGACTGCAGCCGATTTCGTTGATTTTAGGGCAACTTGGCGTAAGCGGTGAAGGGCGCATTGTGCGTGTCTAGACGGTCACCCTCCCGCCTGAGAATGCGATCTGAGATGGGCAGTAAAGTGACGGACCGATGATGATGTGAGTGACTCGTCGGCGGCAACCTCCCTGACGAGCCTCCAAACTTCCCAGTGGGATCGTCAACGTGGTTCTAGAAAGGTGGATTATCGAAGTAGTAGTTGCCTCGTCTCCTTGCAGGAAAACTGTACTGTACACACCTTCGAGCTGCCATTCCTCACCTCGCCTCACACCAATTTCCATTGTGGGTTGCTGTCGTCGTTCGCCGACACCTCTGCTGAGACAACGTGCGGACTTGTCGTCACTCTCGGCAAGCTCAAAGTGGGCATCCTTGATAGTGGTACGGAGATGCATTTATTGAGACTCGAAAACAACTGAGAGTACAGACAACATTATATATATGATGTTTTTTAGTCTCTATTGTGTTAATTGCTTTAACATGGTTGAAAAATGTAACACAACTTTTAAATTCAAGTTTTATACCGTAAGAAATGTCTAAGGCTTGTGTTGAACGATCTCATTTTAGCGAGACTGGGTGAGCCAGACAAAGAGAGTGAAAATAGAGGGAGGGCGAGGAGCAGGGCATACGATATCAGAGTAAAACATCCTGATTACACTGATTTCAGGATGATGTTTTGACTTTGCCTTAAAATCTCAGGACGCTGTGATTTTGTACCATGTGTCCTCAGGATGATGCTATATGTTTATTCCTGAAAGTTCAGGATAGCCGTGGTTTGTTGCCCTGTTAAAACCCAAAGCCTGAATTACAAAAAACGTTGGGAGGTGTTAACACTTTCCCTCCCGAACCAGGGTGGTTACCAGTTGTTCACCTGCAAAACGTGATAAAGTCGCAGTCAGCACAGGGAAGTGTCACGCAACCACTCTTGGCGTTGGTGTGCACACCAAACTAGAAACCTGTAATTCAGGTCGTTCGAAATGGCTGAGTCCGATAGGCTAGAGCAGCAGCCATAGCTTTGAACGGCTAGGCTTGAACCCCATTCCTGCCCCAGGCCTCTTATTTCTGCCTTACACTTTAGGAAAATTACTCCATTCCGTCCAATCCGAAATTATATAACTTTCAGCGATTCTAAACCCCTCTTTCACTCGACATAGCTAGCCACAGGCCCACGCGCACGCACCCACCCGCACTCCCTTCCGTCGCCCACGCGCACTCCGTTCCCGCCGCCCACGCGCACTCCAGCAAGTTGCCCACGCTCAAGACCTCACAAGCCCACACTCACTCCCTAGCCATCGCCTCCGCGCAATCGTTCCGTCGGGAGCTCTCAATCACTACCGTCGCCCGCGCTAACTCCCTTCCCGTCGCCCACGCTCACTCCCATTCCATCGCCCCCGCGCAATCGTTGCGTCACCCACTCTCAATTTCTACCGTCGCCCGCGTCACTCCCTTCCCGTCGCCCACGCTCACTCCCTACCCATCGCATTCTCGCAATCGTACCGTCGCCCGCGATCAATCACTTCCGTCACTCACGCTCACTCCATCCTGTCGCCCACGCTCACTCCCATTCCATCGCCTTCGCGCAATCCTTCCGGCGCACACGCTCACCCCCGTTGCGTCGCACACCGTCTATTCCCTCCCGTCGCACACTGCCTCCCGCATCTCCGCCTCACCCCATCTCCTCCTCCCCGCAGCTTTGTATTCGCGCGCACTCCCTCCCGTCGCGCGCGAATACGCTCCGTCCGCCGCCCACGCTCTCTCCCTCTCACCGCGTTCTCTCACTCCCCACCTGTCACGAAGGTCCCCTCCGTCGCACACGCTCACTCCCCTTGAGGGGAGACCATCACTCCTCCTCGCTCGGCCACGCGATTCCCTCTCGTCGCCCACGCTCTCCCCTCCACGCCGCACACGCACTCCCCCCATCCGTCGCCCACGCTCACTGCCCGTACTCCGCACACGCTCACTTCCCTCCGTCGCCCACGCGAATCCCCCGGCCCCTCGCCTTCTCTCATTCCCCTCCGTCGCCTATGCTCCCTCCCCATCCCTTCCCTCCCCATCCCTCACCTCCCCATCCCCGCCTCCCCATCCCTTCCCTCTCCATCCCTCACCTCCCCATCCCTCACCTCCCCATCACTTCCCTCCCCATCCCTCACCTCCCAGTCTCTCATCTCCCCATGCCTCGCCTCCCCATCCCTCATCTCCCCATCCCTCATCTCCCCATCCCGCATCTCCCCATCCCTCAACTCCCCATCCCCGCCTCCCCATCCCTTCCCTCCCCCGCCTCCCCATCCCTTCCCTCCCCATCCCTTCCCTCCCCATCCCTCACCTCCCAGTCTATCATCTCCCCATCCCTCACCTCCCCATCCCTCATCTCCCCATCCTTCATCTCCCCATCCAGCATCTCCCCATCCCGCATCTCCCCATCCCTCTTCTCCCCATCCCGCATCTCCCCATCCCGCATCTCCCCATCCCTCTTCTCCCCATCCCGCATCTCCCCATCCCTCACCTCCCCATCCCTTCCCTCCCCATCCCTCACCTCCCCATCCCTCACCTCCCCATCCCTGCCTCCCCATCCCCGCCTCCCCATCCCTCACCTCCCCATCCCCGCCTCCCCATCCCCGCCTCCCCATCCCTTCCCCATCCCTCACCTCCCAGCCTCTCATCTTACCATCCCTCTTCTCCCCATCCCGCATCTCCCCATCCCGCATCTCCCCATCCCTCTTCTCCCCATCCCGCATCTCCCCATCCCTCTTCTCCCCATCCCGCATCTCCCCATCCCTCACCTCCCCATCCCTTCCCTCCCCATCCCTCACCTCCCAGTCTCTCATTTCTCCATCCCTCGCCTCCCCATCCCTCATCTCCCCATCCCGCATCTCCCCATCCCGCATCTGTCGAGGAGAAAAGGCTCCGCCCTCGCTTGGGCGAAGTCGGCCATGCTTTTCGGAGCACAACGGTGTTCGTTTCGTGGTCATCGACGACTTCAGAGACTTTTATCTCTGTTCGACGGGTCGATTTTCGAGAAGAGTAAGTTGTCGAAATTGAAGTGTTGTTTCTGCTTTACGAAACTGCCCGTCGACAAGGCACTTGTCGAGGGGAGCAAATCGGCGTAGAAATCGGGCCTTGCAGGTCGACGAAATTGGAGAAAATGGCGTTTCGACGAAACGTTGGTCGACAGAATTGTTACAATCCCAAAAGGGACTTAGCGAAGGATCGCTCAGGGTTGATCGCAGAGTAGTGTTGCAGCGGAAGTTTGAATCTCAGGTCAGAGTGAATGTAAATGACTGAGTTGATAATAGCATGCATACATCGAGTTTATATAACAATACAGGGGAATACGAAAGGACCTAGACTAGCCATGTACTCTAAGGGGTACATTCCCTTATTACAGCAAATTCAAACCGTGCGGCGCGGGAACCCGTTTTGAACCTGTTCTCGCTCTTTTCATTTCAAATGTTTCTGCCTGCATCGGTCTTGGTCGGACGGTTGCTGCGTCGCTTCGACTCTTCTGACTCCTCGACTTCGTACTCGGTAGAGTCGGCTCCTGCAGCATACAGGAATGCCTTACTCATAAAACTTCATATCGTAACACTCCCCTTCATTCGTGGGTGCAAGAGGAGCTGACTCGCTTGACCACTCCGGTGAGGTCAGAGCAGTGTTTGTACTGCTGACGTGGCAGGCGCTTGGTGAGGAAGTCTGATGCCATCTCAGTAGTCGGGCAGTAGGCGAGGTCAACTTTGCCTTGGTCAATTTCGTCCTTGACGAAAAAGTACCGAAGCGCGATGTGCTTCGTGCGGTTCACGAAACCTGGCTTGTTCGCGATCCTGATGGCACTCTGGTTGTCGCAGTGAAGGCGAAAGGTAGGCGAGGTTGGAATTTTCGCTTCCTGTAACAGCTCTTGCAGGTACAGGCCTTCGCGAACTGCTGCTGTCGCGGCGATGTATTCTGCTTCGGCCGACGACAGGGCAACCAGCTCCTGCTTCTGCGAGTTCCAGGAGATTGGCCCAGTTGGTTCCAGGCGAAAAACGAAGCCGGTTCGGGACCGTCGATTTTCAGGATCAGCTGCATGGTCTGCGTCCACGTAGCCGTTGAGGTTGAAGGAGGTCGTCGTCAGCGTGGAGTAGGAGAGCCCAATGTCAAGTGTGGAGATGAAGTATTGCAGGGCGCGTTCCGGGTCCAGCTGGTTCTCTGCTACTGGCTTGCGAGAATACTGTGCCAGTTGGCTAGCGATGTACGAAAGGTCGGGTCGGCAGGTGACAGAGGCGAACAGCAGACAACCCAGTTGCTGCTGATACAGTTGGAGTCCTGCGGGTGACAGTGGTTTGTTGTCCGGTTTGTAGTTGGTGCTGGGGCTGCGGTAGGGAGTTGAGAGTGGTGCGGGAGAGATGTTGAAGCATTCCCCCAGCTGTTCTGCGTACTTGGAGGCTGACAGATGGATTGCTTCTGGCGCGTAAGTGATGTTTAACCCCAAAAACTGCTTCACTTCGAGGTTGATGGTGATGTCCACGCGCTGCGCCAGGTTTTCCTGAAACTGATCCAGGAGTTTGTTGCAGGTGCCCGTGTACAGCAGGTCGTCGACATAGTCTGTCAGGAGGATGTAGTCGCCACTGAAGTGAAGACAATACATTCCCGGGTCGTGTGGAAGCTGCTTGAAGCCGATTTCAAGGAGGATTTTGTGCAGATGCTGCTGCCAGAGGCGAGGCGCCTGCTTGATCCCGTAGAGGGACTTCTTCAGTTGACAGACCCTGAGATCACCTTCTCCGTAGGTGTGCGGCTGCTCCACAAAGATGGTGGCGTCCACCAACGCGTATAGGAACGCGTTCTTCACGTCGATCTGTCGCAGTGGCAGGTGCTTAGCGGCGGCAATAGCGAGTAGAATCCGGACTGAGGTGTGACGACTGACGGGAGCAAAGGTCTGGTCAAAGTCAATACCGCGGCGCTGATCGTATCCGCGTACGACCCAGCGTGCCTTGAAACGCTCGATAGTGCCGTCAGCGTTAGTTTTCAGGCGAAAAACCCACTTTCCGCTGAGTACCCTCCTCCCCTTCACTGCTGCACGATCGACTAGGACCCATGTGTCACGAGATTCCAGTGCCTTTAACTTCGCATCCATCGCAGCACGCCACTCCTTCGCGTGAGGTCCGGTTAGGGCCTGGCGAGGATTCTTTGGCTCCACGGCCCGTGCAAGAGTAGAGACGGGTGTGTGCAGGCCGAGCAATTGAAGGCCTGATACATTGGTGGTGTCTGTGTTGGTGGGGACTTCCACCACGTCATCGTCTCCGCTCTCATAGCCGGGTGCTGCGGTGCTTGGCTCTGCTTGGCGCCGTGATGGTCCTGGCGCGGGGTCATTTTCGCTGTCATCGTCGTCGTCGTCGCGCGGGCGAGGTGGGATGCTGGGATGTTCGTCGGCCTCGGCGCGGTCCAGGATTGCTGCTGCTGCTTCGTCTTCTGGAGTCGCAAAGCTGCGGCCGCTGTTGACATAGCCGCGTGCCTGGTTTCGGCGCTCGTCCTCGATCCACTGCTTCAGGGTGAGTCGCTCGTAGAAGAGGATGTCACGCGCAGGAACGATCTCCTTGCTGTCGATGTCAAGAATTAGCCAGCCTTTGTGTTCGTGACTGAGCCCCAGATGAACTCCCCAGCGCGCACGATGAACGAACTTGCCGATTGTTGCCGAAGTCGGCCGATATTGTACCATGCACCCCCAAACCCTCAGCATGGAGGGGTCTCCCCTTGAGCCGGTCCACTTCATGTGAGGGGACAGGTTATCCCTGTTGGCGGTGGTGGAGAGGAGGTTGTGCAGGCGCACCGCGTGGTTCATGGCGTAGGGCCAAAACTTCTTTGGCAGGCCGGACAGATTCATGATGGCGCGGACTTTGGTCATGAGCGTGCGATTGACCCTCTCAGCGACACCTTGCTGCTGGTGAGCGTAGGGGAGAGAAATCTCATGCTTAATCCCCTTTTCGGTGAGGATGCTCTCCAGCTCATTGCTGCGAAATTCCTTTGCCCCATCACTCTGCCAGATCTTCAGTTTCCTCCCGGACTGTCGCTGCGCGTGCGCGAGGAAGATGTGGAACACCTCCGGAGCCTTGGAGCGGGCGTCGACGTTGGCGATCCATACGTGGCGTGAGTAGGCATCGATGAAGGTGAGAGTATACTTCTCGCCGTTGAGTCCGTCGCAGGTGAGTACGATGAAGTCGCTGTACACTTTCTCCAGCGTTTTGTAGCAGTTGGTGCTTGGCTCCAGAGAGGGATAGGCGGTGTGAGAGAGTGCGGCTGTGGGGCAGACAGTGCAGGTGGTCGGAAGAGGGGTGGTGTGCTGTAATTCTGTTCCGTCGGGGCGCAGCAGTGCTCCTGGCGGGAAAACTTTGGCGCGGAGGCAGTTGGCGAGAGTCTGGCGGGAGGGGTGGCCCATCCGCTGGTGCCAGAGATCATCTTTGGCGCGAATGCCGGAGGTACGCTTGTAACGAGTGTGATGCTCTGCTGCCTCTTCTTCCGTAAGTTGCGGGATCTGGAGTGTGGGTTCTTCCTCTTCTCCTGGTTCTGCTTCGTTGTCCGGCTCCTCTGTCCCTGCTTCTGCTTCTGCTGCTGCCGCCGTTGTCTCCCCTTCTGCAGGTGCCGTTGTGAGGTAGAGCGCGAGAAATTCGCGGTCGGGGATGATGGTGAGCGGGGTCGTGGTGCCTTCGATGAAGCGAGCAAACGGATCTGGGTGAGAGATTGGACCAAGAGAGTCCCGAGGAGGAGTTGGTGGTACATTCCCCTCCTCAATCTCCGACCACGGATCGCTCCAGCGATGAGGTGAGCGAGGTGGTTCACCAGTGCGGGGGGGTCGCCCGAGGGGAATGGCGACTCGAGGTGGTGCTTCGCCGCGCTCAGCTTGCATTTCTCGTTCAGCTTCCTCCAATTCTTCTTGCGTGAGCTCCCCTTCGTCGGGTTCGGCTGTTCCCCACCCTCCCGTGGTGACCGTGCCGCTGGCGCTGGCTCCCCATGCTCCAGTGGCGGATGCCCAGGTTGCGCCTTCTTCGCGTTCTGGTTTGGTATCCTCGTCGCCCCATCCTCCGTATGCTGACTTTTCGTCCCATCCTGCCGCGATGCGCTCCTCATATAGTTTCTGTTTCTTTTCCGCCCGGGCCTTGTCTTGTTCTTCCTTGACACTCAGCTCCTCTGGTGCGTCAGGATCTTTCCAAGTCGGGTCGATGTGGTGGCGGTAAACTTCGCGGGTGTAGGGGCGCGGTCGTCCCTCCTCGTCGAGGGTGGTGGCGTTGGCCTTGAGGACGAACTGGAGATTTTCCGAATATGGCGTCGCCCTTTCCGTCCGTTCTAGCTCGTAGGCCTTGATTGCTTCGCTGAAGACACGGTAGGATGACACGCCAAGTTCCTCTCTTGTCATGCCGGTAGGTTCCGCTTCGGCGCTTTCTGCTTCCTGAATCGCCTCTTGATCTTTTTCGACTTGCTCTGTGCGACTCGCGGTGGGCGTGTGACAGGTGGTGCAGAGACCGTTGGTGTCTGGTTCGTGCAAGTTGATCTCGCGGGGGTGAGGGCTGCGGCGAACCCATGGTCGTCCGTCCGGATGCTCCCACGACTCCTGGTTCATGAAGGCGAACTCGAGTTGAACAAGATCTACGAGCTCGTCTGACGACGCTTGGCAGGAAGGTACGTCGAAGTCCAGGATGTAGATTCCGTTGATTGAGCGGGCTCGTCCGAGATACTTGAACGTCTCAGAAGGTGTGTCCGGGGGAGCGTAGGTAAGAATGAGGTTGCGAGTCGCAAGATCCGTGTGTATTATGACGCCACAGTCGCGGAGTTGTCCAGCCGAGAGCAGATTGAAGCGGAGGTTCGGGACGTAGAGGACGTCGTTGAATGAGATGTGAGTGTTGCTGTCTCGTGCTTGCAG